TATATAGAAATGGTGTGCAGACATACAGTTTTTACGCTTGAGGAACAACGCTATATTTGTAATTATGTCGCACCATCTCATAAAAACACGTCAGGAACTAAAACAATGAAAATGCAGCCTGTTTAAGGGTCTTGCATGTAAGCAATTCACTTGATGAAATGCATTTAGTGCATCGCGCGCGTCCATTATTTTTCTGAGTTATCTGCAGGTACCAACCTGTTTGCACTCGATAATGAATTCCATACGGCAAAGGAGGTCGCGCTTATCAATCAACGAGAAGACATTCTACGCTTTCTCGATGCTGCGATTGCTAAGGAAAGTGCACTCAATACTAAGGTAGGTTACCAAAATGCAAAACTTTGTATTGACCATATTTTCGTACATTTTTTAGAGACAAAGTGTAGACAAGAGAATAACGTGAAAGTAAGATGTATTGCGATTATTCTGCATGATTGATCTTATGTAGGTAGTGCAAAAATTGAAAGAAAAAGCTATACGTGACGCAGAGAAGAGGGTGAAGAAGTTTGAGAAAATTACTCATAGGTCTGTCGAGAAGGCGGAACGAGATCATCGCAAAGAGCAAAGGCAACGGCGGAAACACACGCTCATAGTAAGTTCACTTCACCTGTTTTTAATTGATTTGATCATCTCACTGCGTACGAAAAGAGACTGGCATGATCGTTGACCGTCAGGAACAAGTACCCTGCAGCCACTCATACTGCACTTATAGATGTAAACCTATACTGCACTTATAGCTGTAAACCTATATTTACTCCTAAATCTTAGTTCATTACAATTTAGTCATGCTAATTAGGCAGGACATCATCGTCCTGTAACCGATAACTGCTAACATCCAGCGAATTTAACCCGACATAAGCTCGTTTGAGTCCGGAACGATCTGCTGTTTCCCAGCTCGTCCTTCGTTGTCACGTAGACATATTCTGGAGCGGACTTCGTAGTGTACTGTAACGGGGCAACACACTGGTGAAAGGGTGGCATAGCATCGAGTCTTTAAGACCTCATCCGCGCCTGCTCTGGATTTGGCAAAGCACCCGCTCATGCTATGATTCCGAGACCAACCGACGATATTTTTACTTACCTCGTTTGCAGCAGCTTTTTTTCGTCTTTGCGTTCCTTTTCCTGTCATATTTCGCATCTGTCGAGTTCGAGTCGAAACGCCTTTTTTCGGAGAATACGTGCTACAATGGGACGAACACTTTAGAACTCTTATCCGGATGGCCTTTATGGCAGGTAAAAACGTATAGTCCTCGGAAACACTGGTTGCAATCTCTTAATGCTTTATTCTTGGGAGAACAGGTTGACTGGCCATCCCTTCCGTGGCCCTTTTACTATCGGCGTCAAGCGACGGTTTACTAATCAGTATGCCATGACCGAAACGTAACAGTGCATATAACATGCGAGATGCTCGCCGCCCTGAGCCTACGAATTGTGACGCTGCTCGTGGCGAAGCTATGCAGACTGACCAAAGTAATGATGTAAGAGCCAGCTGCGTACCCAGCCCAACGATTACTACTAAATATTGTCGGAAAACTCGCTTTCGGCTAATATTTCACATTACAGTAGCGTACGGTTAAGAAAAGAGTATTTCTGGACAGACCAGTTCAAACAGCGAAAGCCTACGACTCCGCGTGTATGCAAGAAATGCATGTGCAGTTTATGGACCTATCAAGCAGACCTTTTTAAAGCAGACCAAATTTTTAAGCAGCCCTTGATAATAGTCTTTTTCAGAATAACAGGATCTTCGTATCTTCGTGGAACGAAAGCATCAGGACTGAGAGAAAAAGTTAGAGATTCCTAGTACAACTATTGCAATGCAAGAAGATCCATAAAAGTAATCATAAATATCAGATGCTTTTATGTCTGGTCATTCGCCATAAGTTTCGTCTTTAGAAGCGCCTGAAGTGGTACCGCGGAAAGACTGGCTTCAAAAGCAAAGATCGACGGTGATCGTCGATAAGCTTCTAATGAAAAAAATAACGAACGTGTTAGATAACCTCGCCCAAACCCTCTTTGCATTATTTCTCGGATTGCCGCCAACACTCGACTAAGAAGCAAGAATATTATTTCCAGATAAAATGCTAAAGCGAATGCCTCCACAAAGGTGTTGAGATTGCTTAGAGCTACGCTGCAAGGTAACCTTGTCTCTGTTGACGGACGCCACTGACAGGATCGGGGTGGAAGAAGCATCGAGCGAACGTCGGCATTTGTTTATTGCGGTATTGCATCTTTAATTTTTTACGCAGACGATTTGGTATTGTTTAATGTAAGGAAGTACTCCTTCCTGCGAGCTACATCGAGGGTGACCAAGCATATGAAAAAGATTGACCTCTGGTTCCATACAGAGACGCAAGCAATGAACTTCAGATCGGGCGTCTAAAGGCAGTCAAAGATGCGTTAAAGCTATAAAGTGAAACAGCAAGTTTTTGCTTTCTTTTTATAGTAAAATGTCAATCAGTTTTTTTTTCGGCCGGCACATGCGCAAGGCGGCGGTGGTGGTAAATTTTGTGGCAGTTTGGTGCAAGCCGGCTCAGAGCTATTTTTGTACATACTGCTTTAGACCTTACCCCGAGTATAAGGGGAATCAATTAGTCACCTACCAAGTACATCGACGAAGAACTGGCGAGGCTGACAGTCGTGATAAGTGAGAGTTAGATTGAAGGTTGAAGTGATATAATCAGACAGCATGCTTAAAGTGGTATGTGCGTTATTATGATAACGCACTAAGAAACGTGTTTGCATGCCATCCTTAGAGGCACGTAGTGGTCTAAATTTAAATCCGATCGTAGATACACTTCGTCTCATTCTGAGAAAGAGCCATCTAAAGTAATGCCTAACGACTGAACCACTGGACATAAAATATAAAGAAACATGCAGGGTTTTAGAGTTGTATATTCGCATCTATATTCTTCAACAAAGGTATTATTGTACATTTATGCAGATTATTTTCATTGATTCCTTTTTTTCAGTTTTTTGTTTGCTCATGGCCATTGTACATCTTTTTTCTTCTACTAGTCTTTTAATTTTTTGGTTTTGCGCGAATAAATAGATATTACTTCAATTCCGAGCAATGAAGCGGATATACTCTGAGGTGGTGAATTTAAATAAAAGGAATGCATCTAGAGACAACGAGATTCCCAAATGAATCTCATGGCGATCCACATGGCCAGTTTGTCACAAGTTATATGCCACAGTCAACAAGAAACACTTCCTGTTAGTTTGGTCTACATTATATTTAAACGTATACGGACTATTGTATTCATCGAATACCGTTTTATTAACGTAAAATTTACAGTTACTGATTATTGGAGCTGATTGAATATGGTAGTATTTCGACCCTATACATTATGTTAGCATTGTAAAAACGGTTACACGAAGAACGCTTAGAAGTGGCGCATCAAGTAGAATTAGTGGCGAATTGTATTATAGCTTATAATATAAAAATTAAGAAAGAACTGCACCCTCACCATTGCAAGGAAACAACACTTTCTCGACCTTCAGATTGATGAATATAGTGTAAAGTTTAAACGCTCGCTCGTTAAATCTGTCGATTAAAGGTATGTGCAGTTCAACTGGGTTTATCAACCTTCTATACTTAAATATATAAGTGTAATATTACGAGCTAAAATTCAGAGCAAAGAAACTAACATCTATATACGATCATGGGAGTTCATCTGTCACAAGTATGGAAATACTCTCAGTTCAATATGCACCATCTCTTACAACGAAATCAAATTTCGGTAAGCGTCTTTGCGTAGCTAGAAATTAATATTAATCCAATATGTTGGGCTGAAGCATAAATGTTGGCATTTTTTCAAACATTCAGTTCTCCCTTTACCTCTTCACTGTTTGTCTCTCGCTATCTAGAATTTAAGCATTTGGAGCCTGAGTGTCCTCTATATCGAGTGCAAAGCACAAGAAAATACGGTTTCTAATAGTTATTCTCTTGCATCGGGCAACATGCAATTACAATGACCGTTTCTATAGAGAATTATTACGGGTGATAGGAATCGGTGTTCCTCCGTCAATGTTAAGCAGAGAAAGGAATCGGTAGCTTCGGGAGGTAAGCTGAAGTTCAATAGTAATCCAAGTCTCCACCCTAATAAGACAGCAATTTTATTTATAGGGACTAACACTGTCTTATGTACCAAAAAACTCTTGAGAAAAGCAGGGCCGTTAATAAGGATCTGCGTATAGTCCAGTCGCATCGTGTGAACGAGGTTGTCCAGCATAAAAGACAAAGCAAAGACATCTTTCCTTCACACCAATTCCAGACAACGTATAACAGAGGTCGATACCGGCCTGCAAGAGCTTGTGTTACTATACCGCAGGTCATATTCTCAACATTTCGCGCCGATAGGAATAGTATATTTTTTGCTCGTTGATAAATAAAATTTATAACAGTACATTTGAAAATAAAGAAAGTCTCAAGATCAGGATGGATGGGGTGCTAGGCGTTAAATTCAAAAATTATAGTGAGATGAAATAAATATACTAGTTGAAAGACGGAAGAAAATACTACAGAATAACCAGAAAATAATAATAATAATAATCAGGTTTTTTTCTAGGTACTGTATGAAAGGCTGCATTTTACTTACTTGAAACAAGTCGAAGCGGTTTGTCGTTATTTATTGGATTCATTCAGCTTTTAAGGCCGTTGTCATTTCCTACAACTTGAAAGAGGCTGTTCGTTGCTTGCACGGAAATTGAAAGTGTCTCCATAGATGACAAGTGTTTAACATGTTGTTTAGGGCTGACTATGGCTAGGCTACTAGGCTGTAAAGAAGCTTCCTATGCTTTTTCCAAAAAAAGCTTTTCTTTTATTACCTTTCCTCATTTGTTGTTCTCTTCTGATATGCCGTTCAAAAATGTATTCTTTGCTTGGTCAGCGTGTTGTAACCCTATTGAGTTGTGAGTGCGATATTAACTTAGAAGAACTAGAAATGTAGATGTCCTAAGTGCAAAAAAGGTATATTCTTGACATCTTCTGTGTGCATTTCTTCGAAAACACAGCCCGGGATATTTATCTTAGATATTGATTGATAAAAGAACCGCTCAAGGGTGGTTCATTAAGTAAACGGAATTTCGGGAGCTGAAAATCTGCGTTTGTTGACAACTATGTGAACCCTTGGAAAAAGATGGATGGCTAATAATTCGGGAAATCGACCGGAAACCATGCGACCGCCATTAGTCACCTCAAGTCCTTTCGGTCTCTACAACTTTCGGAATTCTGCACATTAGGAACTCCCTGATTCCGAATGAGGATAACGACTTAAGAGATGTTGAGATTTAGCGACTTAACGCTAGATCTCTACATCTCTTCGACACCGATCACCTAGCCTCAATAAACAATTTTTGCATAGAATTGTCACCAGTAATAGGAAGTGCTGTGTGTACATCAACATGAACCAGGGATTGGAACGGTGGTTCCGAAAGAAAAGCCAAGGCCATCTTCATCCCAGATTATGCTTTGCATTTGGAACGATTGCGAGGCCCTCATTCATTGGGAAGCACACGGTTGATTAGCACATTTGTTTGGCTTTCTTACATCAAATCAACTAGCCCATTCAAGAGGAAAGGAGGCTGCACACAGTAAAAATTCTCTAGAGCTACTTTTCTGAGGTTTCAATGGAAGATTTTTGCATCCCCTATATTCTCTGAACTCTGAGCTGACGTGTTTTCACTTTTTCAATTGACTGGGCAATTGCCTTCGATACGGATTAGCAATTCAAAACGTGCTTGCAGAACTTCGTCGAGACGAAACCTATCACCTTTTGGAGGTATGGCAGACATCATTTGATGGAAATGTAAGAATTGTGGATAACACGTAACATAATCTAAGATAAAACATAATACAATGACCAGAATAAAAAACGTAGTGTTTTCTATTCAGTAAAAAAAAAAAAACGTAGGAACGTGACAGTCATTCAATTCGTTTTCGTGCTGTAAATTGTATAACAGATAAAGCCATCGTCCTATTAGTTTTTAGTAGTAGTAGTAGTAGATCAAAAATAATGTTCATTTGCTCAATAATATAAATAAATATAGCATGTATATTAATGCCATGTCTAATGCTAATATCAATAATGCTTTGGAATTTTCCGAATAGGAGGTTTATTACATATGGATAACCCTACGGTTTAACGGTTTTAATATGCGTTTCATTGCCAAATCAAGATAATTTCAACTTGACGAACAAAATTATACCGAATAATGTTTAAATAAATTTTTTCTTGAGAAACTATATGTTTTTTGATGCTTTGCAGACTGATTCGCTAACCTCGGCAAACTGCCGGGTTGTATTACCACCCGGAAGTGCTAAAAATTCTGCAGGTGGGCAATCGCAGAAATTTTCGGAGATTGTGTCGACGATTAACGGAACCTCTAGACGAGGCTTTGGAGCAGTAGTCTCGAAAAAGCTTCTCAGCAAGCGGACAAGTACTTCAATCCAGACGCTCAATGAACAAGAAGCTGGAAAGGTTTGATTAGATTATAATTCATTGCCATTTTCTACGTAATATGGTTTATCGGTAATAGGCCGCAACTCAAGCGTATTTATTTTAATAATAATATACAGTGACGGCTATTCGGTGGGGAACAAATTTGACGTCAGATGAACAAAAAAACAGTTTCTTTTTCAATTTCTGGCCACTTTTTCGCAAACATGGTACGAAATAATGGTACAGATATTTTCTATGATCCTGTCTGTCGTTGGCAGATTGTCGTACTAGATCTTGCTTTTTAAGTATCCCTGTAAAAAGAAGTCAAGTAAAGCTATATCGCATGGGGAGCATTTGACAGGACCCCGCCTGGAGATCAACAGCTCATTAAAGCGATTCTTTAATAACGTCTTCTAATAATAATTAGTTATATGGAAGGGTAAATCTTCCTGCTGAAACCATATGTCCTTTTTTAATGATTAGGGTCACAAAAAGGGCTGAAATTATTTCCCAGTAGCAGACGGAGTTTACAGTTCAATTTTGTCAAAAGAAATAAAGAGTCAATGATGCCACCGGACTTTCCTGATTTTTTTTAATATGTAAGCTACTTTTGTGGATATCCCGAATTTAGGTCTATGATAATCCATAGATGGTAATTAAACTTCGTGCTATTTTAAAGATGGTCACGATGTATGTGAAAAAGACTTGGTAAGGCGAACAACTTTTACGAAAAAAACTAAGAGAGTTCACTTTATCAATTTTTTTTTTTAAGTAAAATCTTGAATGTATGAAATCCATAGTAAAAACATGTATGCAGTTGTTTTTGCAGGCGTTATTTTAATGCTGCTCCCGATCAGATGGCTTTCCCGTACAAATCGTATACACAGTATTTGCAATACACCTTTTCTTGTTTTCTATCGTAGGTATTAGACCCCACTCGATTAGGACAATTGAGCATTCGTTCGAAAGTAGACAACAACGATGTGATCTACGCGGCACCTTCAAACCTAATGTACGGGCAACGTACTAGAAGTCCTAGCCATGCCTCAACCGAGCATCTGTCAGCATCCAGCGGAGCTTTCAACAGTGCCGACGGGTCGCACGGAGTATGTATTCTGGGAACATACGCAGCATCCTATTGTGTTACTAAGGCATTCAGTGTCGTTAACATCTGAATAAAGTATGCGCCTCTTAGCGCCATTGTCATCTCTTTCTAGTAGATCAAGCTCTATGGTTACAAACAAATCTGCAAACGTATCATGCTAATGTTAATCTATGCAATCATCTGTTTAACCTTTTTATGTAAAAGTAATGCGTTAGGTAAAATGTAGACATATGATTTTATATTTTTCCGCACACCTTATGCATATGCTTATAGATGCAATGACACCCAAAAGTTTAGTCACAGATTGAGCTTTTGCATTGAATGAATTGAAAATTTCGATAACTGCAGAGAATTCACATGAGGGACGTCTTCGAAGCCGGCTTACTTACTAGTTCTCCAAATGGCAACTTGAATAACATCAGCCAAACGACATCCAATCAGTCGGCCGATTCATGCGGCGTCGGTACGTTCAACACCATAATAGTACTGTTAATTGCTGCGGTATCTACAATACATTATCGTAATCAACAGTCGTTAGCTTTTGACATCGCTATCGATCTCTCGATTTGTATATTCTTCCATCAGGTCAATTCTCAAATAACACAAAACTTTCCTCATAACTCAATAATCAATCATTTCTAACAAATTTCACATCTTTAAGTAGGCGAAGATTTGGCCCCTTTGACGTCTTCGACCTCATCGATCTTTGAACGACCCGGCTTCGGTTCAGTGGCGTTCCGCAACTCCTTAGCAACAAATCCAGCGCTCGCTTTAGCGGGTCCCTGCGTAGTGACCAATGGCTCTTCGTCAAAGAGTGGTACCAGTAGTGGCGGCCAAGGCTTCTCATCGAGGACAACATTGAGCTCGTCAACAAACTCAAAAAGCAGTTCTACAACGTCTTCAGGATCTACGTCTGCCGAACATTCGTCTGAGGAGTCAGCGACGCTGAGCGGATCCGATTCAATTGGGTCCGTTGGGAGCTTGGTTCAGAGGACTAACAAGCGAGTACGTCAATTCAGTTAATTTAGATTATGTGATGTATCTAATTTCTACCTTTCGACTATACATAGAAAAATGGTGTCTTACTTGATTAAAGCATATTGTAAATATAGACGAGATGATTATACAATTGGTTTTTGCCACTTATCTTGAAACTCGCGGGCTTTTTTTAGAAACGGTCAACTTTTTTAATTTTTTTTTTCTAAATTTTCGTGTAAACAAAAAAGGTTTATGTTCAGAATTTGGGCCAACCTCACCGAGTAAACGTTTACTCGGGTTTTCCTTAAAGGAGCCTTCGTGAAAAATTTATATCCTTTTGAGTATTTTAAGTTATTTGCTACACTTATTTTACCCCAGAGCTACTGCGGCTGCATGCGATATCCACCATAATAAGACACTATATTCGCCAAAAACAATGAGCCTAAGTTATTTTTTTAATCAAAACGGGAATATGGTTTGTTGTAATTACGCTTGTGAACTTTTTACTGAACTATACCGTTTTCGAAATAAATCGAAAGAACTGACTCGTATCTTTATTTTGAACATAACAGACGTATAGGATTTTCGAACCGTCCTTGCCTAAAAAGGATAAATATAGCATTCATTTTCACCTGAACGTTTCCATTACAGCAAACACGACGGTAAATAAAATAGACCCGAGTTTCCCAACTAACAAATAAACCCTATTGTTCTGCTTATAGCATTAAAGTTAACCGTATCCTTTCGTTTGCTTGAGTATATCGTTAACGAAATCCGTCTATGGATTATAATAAACCTGGTATGTGATCATAAATTGAAAAGTCGAATTACTTTAATTTACTTTATAATTAGCAGTTGTCACTGTTGATGCTAGCCCAACGATTCATAGTACTAATGTATCCTAATAATAATACTAATGTAGCACAAGCAACTAGATAAATGAGGTCCAAAAGTTATGGGCAGATGTGGCAGTTATCCTAAGCTAGAATGAATATTATACAGTACCGTTAAATTTAATGTTCTATTTATAAAGCGCACATAATCCATTAGCTGTACTGTTACTGATAGTGCTTTATGAACTAAAATTAACTTTTCAAAAACACTTCATATATGATTGTTACAGCGAAGCGACCTCTCAGACGTACCGTTATGCATTCAGGTTTCATCTTGGGATGATGAGCGCACGTCATTGTCATCGGTCGACGAGGACACCAATCCTGTTTATATTTTCCTCTCCGTACATCACTTGCAGGTAGTGAAACACTGCGCAATAATAGTCTCAATTTATATTTTACCCCAAAGGGCATTCGGAGCTAAGGCTTGACTAAGAAAAAATACATTCCACAATAATAAACCTATGACTTACGAGTCAGGTTTCCCCTTAAAACATGTAAATAATATTTATATTTAAATATCATACGTACGTCTCCTTTTTATTCGTAGAACAAGTGACGCTTTTAACTATATAGTACGTATACGTCTATTCTATTCCAGGAGTATTATTCAATTTTCGAACGCGAGAAAATTGATCTCGATGCGTTGCTACTTTTAAATGAAGCTGATCTCCAGACTATTGGCCTTCCACTTGGTCCAAGGAAAAAGCTTGCAAATGCTATCGAAATTCGGCGAGCAGCACTAGATAAACCGGACGAAAAATTTGTTGATTCACGAATGTAGACAAAAAAGGCGCATAAGTCAATTAGGTGGATCAACACGATATACAGGAATATTTATATGGAACTCTACACATTTTTTCATCAGACAGTAATATAAATGCTATCAATATTTGCGAAAGCTCTTCTAGGGAAGTGTTAATCGTTGGCTTTTTCCAGTGCTTATGCAAAGGTTTCTATGACGACCTGCATAAGAAAGAAATGTTCAGCTTTGTGTTATTACAAGCACCACCGACCCGAAGCAGGGCGATCATTGCTAATAGGTAGAAACGATTCACTACGTATATAACTCTCAGATCGTGCGTGAGCTTAATAGCTTGTTTCAGTGTGCTCAGATCGTAGTCGGTAGACAGAAGGAGAGGGTGGAAGGTAAGGGACCGCCATTGCAAAATATACAGCAAATAGAAAAATAAGACAATTTGTACATTTTCAATCCATCCAGATACTGTACAGTTCGACTACTGACATCGACATAAACAGAAGTTCCACTGACGCATTTGCGAAATAAAGTAATATATGAATATATATATATATATACTCAGGATGCACTAATACCGGCACAAACGCGATTTATCTGTTCTAAAGCTCGTCCATAGTGATCACCGTCAGCAGCTTCATCATGCATCCGATGGGTCCATTACTCTTTAGCACAGCCATGAGCCGGATCTGGCTGTTAATAGTAATGGAGTTCCTAGTTTAAAAGTGACTCGACACATTACAGCAGATACACAAGCTTGGCCTACTATACACGCTAACTAACTTCAGCAATGTTTCAGCATCAGCTATATCTCTGTGCGTTCGGTAGTCGCGTGCGAGCCACGGAGGTGCCGTAAAGTAAGGCGGCAACGTCCCAGTTAGGTAGTTGACGAAGTCGTCATACAGGCTGGATGATACCCTTAGATGCCTCTTAGGAACGCTTTTAGCTCAAACGGCAACCCGGTAGACCACAGTCCAGTACACACCACTTTTCCTAAATGAACACTAACGCGTTTTTATATCTCTTCGGACCCACGCATAGTTATCTTCGACGTGAAGTCGTGCTTTCTCGTCTGAGTGGGCGAGCCTCTAGTTCATTCCACGTCACCCAACTGTCTATAGTGGGTTCGAATCGGTACCGTGCTAAAAGTCAATAAGCAATCCCAAACAGACACTACTACTTATGGGGTTAGCCATAAGCACTTGCTGTTATCGTCAAGGTAATGAAGTGGCGAAAACGTACGAAGTCCTTGAAAAGTCGCTTGGCTCGTACAATACGCCCTTTTGTCATTGATGCCAACAATCGAAGTAACGACGTGGTAATAGTGACATAAATTAAATTTACTGGTTCTGCACCTTGCTTTTTCATAGAAATAGCCTAGCACTTAGAAGTATCCAAAAATGAATATATATTGTATGCGTCGTAGTACTATATGTATATATAACTTTTCGTACGATACACTCATTTTATACACGTAAACTGTAACGTTGAAACAGCGGCTTTTCAGTTAGATATCAGATCGAGCTTTTTTCCTATAATATTTCATATCAAAACGTTTACTTCTATAGAAGTTTTTAGAATGCTGTTACGTCCAATTGAATAACACATGTTGGTTCGAATCTCATAATGAAACACACGGCCTGCTTATGAGCTTGATTTTAATAGATATAATGCAATAGAAAGCTCAAGGAAATGACTATTTTCGGCATATATTGATCAAGTGCTTATATTCGTAGTGCACGTATACCGTTCGCGTAGCCTAATGAATTTAGTACAAAATCTAATCAACCACATAAATAAAGTACTCTAAAGAGTCGAGGTAACTAAGACAGTATGAGAATTCTTAACACACGACTGCTTCCAAAAAAGGCATTCTATGTGACCCATTTTTTTTTGAAACACAACCTTTTATCATATGGGTTGCTATTTGGCTGGAAAGCGGTACCTCGACGGCAAGGTTGGTCCGTTGGTGGTTAGTGTTCGCTGACGGGCACATATCAACAGCATGGGTAATATTCTCCTTCCTAATTGGTTCGATTCTGCTTGACAACATAGGGGGCATGTTGGTAAGATGAACATTAGGAAGGCACCTATTTATCTGGTGCCTTTTGTCACTGCGGCATTATAAAAATAAATGTCGACATGGTGCATACACTCATTATTGGTGGTACGATGCTGAAAGTATCTGCTATCTTTAGTTGAGAATTGATTGTTAGTAGAGTCTTTGCCTTGACTACTATATTTACAGATTACTGCCTTGCAAAGAAACACAATAGGTAGTGTATACCAGCAAACCTTTAATGAGTATTTATAGTAATTTTAATGGTATAGTGGTTCCTTGGGCGGAATTTGCGTAGAGCTTATGTCAAAGGAAAACCCCCTGATGCGAGAACGTTCAATAGCGCGTTGGTGTTATAACATAGCCCCACTTAACATTAATGTTAGCTTACTAGTGTTATTGCAAAAATTAGTGTCAAAATACACAAAGTACTGAACGTATCGACGCGTCGTAGTAGAATTGGAACTATTGTATATTTTTGACAGACGAAAAAGGAAAAAATGTATAGACCTTTTCAGACATTGCTTTTTTACTAATAAACAAGGATACAAATGAGTTCGAGTTATTAGATGTGCTTAATTTTACATTTAATTTTTATCGCCTTACTTAACGATAGGGTACTAATGGTGGACATATGGGTATAAATAGACCCCATTTTACGCCCCACCATAGCTATATAGGCACAAATAATTGTGTTTGGTTGACTGAGAGGGAAGAAAGGGACTCCGCACCGCAACTATAGTACGAAATAAGCTGTTTGGACGTATTCGTAATTAGTAAAGCAGCTACATTTGACCTGAGCAACGCAAACGCAGAATGGAATACAGAAGCGGACAGTTTTCATGGTTGGTACTAGAGCTGGAAACCAAGCGGAAAACGTTGTTAACATGCATCTCAAATTGAATCCAGTGAGGATAATTTCCTTTCGATTCCCAGTTCATTTGCAACAATTCATTTTTCGCAAAATGTATTTAGTAAAATTCAGTCAGTTGAAAAGTCATGGTTAATTGAAGGAACAACTGCAATCACTTCTCAACATTTTTTTACACAGTAATGCTGTTAGCGCTTCACTAGAATTTGTGACATCGAGATGAATAATTGAAGTGTCACGGGCTTATTTAACCGATATTGCTGTTCCGTTGCAATAGTACCTCTTCCTGAGGTCATTCTCACCCTATACATTCGAGCCCAGTTGAACATTATGCGATTAGTGACCGTTGCTCGCTCCTCTGCGGTTTTATATTTTCTTGTGATCTTATTAATTGCTAGTTTACACTATATTTACATCTGTAATTATGTTCTATTTTTAATCCTGTCGAACGGCTTCAGTAGTAGGATTCATTACAACGAAATATTTTCGAGTTTAACCCCTTATCCTTACGCCATCAACGTATAGACTACATTGCTCTATCTTAGTATTACTAAATGCCAAAGTTTGAATACCTTCAACATCGTATTGTGAAGTAAGTACCATCACCCCATTAGATTAATTGCCTAACTTATGATGTTAGGCCAATACGTCTATGAATCTTCAGTTCTGAAGTTCACCCAAGAAAAGTATTTTATTTAGAAATTCGTGCCCACGGTAAATAAACACCTCGGCTATATGAAGAGAGAAACTAATTGCTCGTGCCATAATGACGTACATTCTCTAACCAGCGGCAACGATTCGATAAAGGTAATAGCGCTCAACGGTAAACACGTCATTCTCAAACGGGCCTATTTATCACAAGGGCCGAGTTGACACTGTCACTTTAAAATCATACGTGTTATATAACTAGCGGAGTGCTTCAATTGAGCCTTCGTTGCGCTCTTTATGGCACATTCTTTTTACAAACTTCAGCTTCTTGTGAAGAGCCTTTCATAGAAGACTTGCGCACAGAGAAAACAGACGCAACGTCGATGAGTCGAATATTAGCAGAGAGCATCCAGACCGAAAGACTACATGAAGTTATTTGTATCAAACGGCTAAAAGGGTAAAGTGTAGTAGGTACGCGACTTCAGAATTAAAAACGTCGGCATTTATTTGGACTGGGCAACAAATTACATTCTGCGAGCACCACCCTTCAACTGCGATAGGAAGCGGAGCTTTATTCGTAGAATGAGTATCTATTGTTTTCAACTAAACCCCTCTTTTCTTTATGTTAGAAAAACCGATTGAGCTTGATTATGTACGCTCTCTGACAGCGAGGGTTTTTACTTTGGATCTTTACCATAGGATTATGTTCCATGTGTAAGAATTATGCCGAGACTCTGGCATGTTTAGAAAATTTCAGTTTAGAGATAGAATTGGCTATTCGACATTTATTTTTTGCTAGCTTGTCTTAAATTATTGCAGTGCGCCTCAGCTTTAATTAGTAGGAAGGTTGTCGACAGAAAATTTTAATGCCAACAGTGTTTGACATCCTATGCCATAGGTGCCTCTCTGCATGCTATTCAAGACAGATTTCTAAGCATTCGGACGTACGCTCTGTACCTGTTCGTGTCCTTCGTTTAACGAAAATAAATCCTTGCCGCACTGCTGATTGGTGTATTAAATCGCTTTTTAGGGGCTGTAACGATCCGATGCAAAGTATTATTAGCCCAGAACGTAAGATGTTTTCATTGAGCGAAAATTATTTCTTTAAATTCATCTAGTCAGACATTGACCCACTTACGCGCTAATAAAAGTTTTTTAAGCTTTGTGAATCTACTTTATTGTTGCGAAGCTAAAAAAAAGTCTTCCTGAACGAAAAGCATGTTTGAAATCGAAATTTTCTAATCAAAACTAATATTTCTTAAGTTTGTGAGCAATTTAATTAACGCTACGAATTTACTCATGAGAGAAATCGATTCTGAATGTACGCAGAACTATTTTGAAGCAACATTGGATCACTTTTGATTGATATCACTTGCTTCCAAAAAAATTCGGTTAGAGCAGAAAATTCGTTTTAGGAAGCTGACATTGCCGCTCTCTCGGAACGATTCAGGGAACGATTCAATTAAGCGATTCACAAGTGCCGTCAAGTCACAGGCTATGGGAATAATCAATATAGATGCTTCCTCGGACCCTGGTTTAAAGATAATAACTATTGGTACCGTAAACGGCTCTGCAATATTGATTCTACTTTTCTTAATAATGCATAGTAATTGTAAGACCAATGGACAGGATGCATAAATGAAACAAAATACGGGCATATATGCTACGGTTACTAGTTAACGCACATAGAAAAGATAGAGTAAATCCTCATTGACACCAAGTCTATTAAAACTTAAAGCAGTCCGTGCGACCTTCGTGAAGACCTTCGATATCTGGGGTATCTCACGACAAAGTTGCATTTTATGATGAACGCCATGGAAACGCTCTGGGTGTATAGCTGACGACGTTATCGACCTTTCGTCTCCTGATAAAAATTATTGGAAAAACGTGGACCTAACTAACTGAAGATCCGTTTGATAACCACAGCGTAGATCTTGTTAATTCGTGATATCACTAAAACTTCTTCCTGTCGCTAACTTAATGTTAATCAATAGTCTTGAAATGAAATACGTCTTTGTGCTCACGTGGAAGATGCAGGAAAATAAAAGCACGACTTGTACTAAAACAAAAGTTGAATTTTACATTTTTTAAATGAATTTTTACATTCAGATTCAAAAACGGCCAAATGGCAAAAACGGATCGCCAACGTCAAGAACATGCTTCAACCTGATTCACTGATGGTCTACTATGATCTAAAACGCCCAACAATTGCAGCAGTTCCTCGTGATAACGCCCAGACGTACGTAGCACTGTTTGATGGCACTGCTCCATGAAAAAGCGAAATAATTAGTGATACATCGCTATTATTCTTCGAAGCATTTTAATGTCTAAGGTCGCCCGCGGTACCCTTACTTTGGAGCAAGTTCTCGGTTAGTCAGCAGTAAATAGGCATCCATAGTATGTAAGGATAAATCGAAACAATATTATGGCTTATCAGTAAAAGCAGACGTACCATGAAACAAAAAGACTGGGATTTCTTAGATTGTCTTATAAACCATAAACCGAGAGGCACCACTTGTTATAGAGTTAAGTAACATCTAATAGAAGACTGTGGAATTAGAATTATCACAAATGCCAATAACCATTGGACTTCCAAGGACGTTTGCGGTGACTCAACTCCATTTACTCTATTTCCAGCACTGAATCATTTCATTTTCTCTTTCTGTTGGCAGTCGTCCGATATATCATTAATAGTATAATCACCATCAGTTTTGTCAGATTTACTGTTATCGTCGTTCTCCTCATTATAGAAAACACACGCGGAATGAGCTAACAAAAAGATGTTAAAAAAAAACCAAGTGCTTACCCAAAGGGAGGAGAGTAGAAAAAAAGCTCGAATTCATCTTCCATGCATTTTATGCATAGCATAAAAACTTGCTTACAGCAGTAAACTTCTATGTTAGCAGATACTAATCTTAGCAATCGGAACATCACAAGGGTAGGCTAATCAATAGTCGAAGCAAGCGCAGATGATGTTTTTAAACACTGACAAAAGCCGCGGCAGCACGTTAGCTAATATTCAGTTTCAAATAGAAGTCATGTAAGGAATAAAAAGGAATCGGTATTTGAAAACGTCCATGCACATTTAGACGCACACGACTTCACAACATGGCACGCACAGACAGAGACTTCTGACCATACACCAACACAGATGAGAAGATCATGACAGAAATATAACTAGTGTTGGCAAGTGCTCAAGGACGTCGGCACGAATTTCAGCTAACCAAACACTAATGCCACCGATGGCAGAGACAAGCAATGTCGGCAGCAAAGGTTCACGAACAAACCTATCTCCGCCTATTGAATCTCCATCCTTCTATCGGACTTCCATTGCAGCAGCAGCAGCAGCTACTAAGAGGGCCGTACTATTGAAACTTTTAGAAAAAAGAACTACTCAGATAACTATCCGTACGCTGACCGTGCGGTAATCTCATAAAGACGAAGACGGGGCTCAGAACGCGAGCGTGATACAAACAGAGTTACGCTAACATGTTAGGAAAAAGTTCATTTGCCGAGCTCCGTAATAAAGAGCAAGATATTCTTTCATCTAACAGTGACCATATCTGTCAGTATTATGAAATGTTCGTTTTATAATACAGAGTGCCTTGCGGTAGCATGTCCACAAAGATCGTAGGGAAAATATAAGGTGAGTGTCACAAACTATTCTAGTATACCTGTATATGCTGGGTGTGTCAGTGGGCGCTGGCAGAAACTACCAATAACTAATAAGAGACGGGATGGGTAAGGGTTTAATGAAAAGATTTTTGCCGTCTATGGGGCGTTGTTATTAGCTGATGATTATATGTATCCGGAATAACGAAAAATGTCAACTATTTTCCTTCGATTTGCAGTTGACAGTAATATTGACAGGAGAGAGAGGCAAGAGTCTGGGAGAGCAAAAAATGTTATGGATTCGTAAAATTACAACCCTATTTAAGCTAGTCCACGCTGGTTCATTAAAGAATGTTTTTACTGTGTATTCGGCAAGAACGCAACAAGTGAGTCACCAACATAACCAAGCTTGCCGTTGACTCATGTACCTGTCTAATTATAATAGTATACGCATATGGTTAACTCAGAAAATGCAAATTCCTAAATATTTACGTAATCAGCATACACGTAGACCGAATACTCTGGACAGAAGCGTAGTACACTGCTAACTATCACTCCGGAGAGGAGTAGGTGGAGAAAAAAAGATATTCGAAATGAATTCTCAAGTACCTACCATATTTCACCGATGCTTTTTATTTATTCATACGCTAATGATAGACAAACGAAAGCTAATGACGTTAGATAATTTCAGATTTCAAGTTAAATTGAAGTAGGACATTGTTTGTGCTATTGGAATGTACTGCTTCGAGGGCAACAGCTTCGCTTTTTGACTCATTCAGACAGCGGCTTGGTCAGCTGAACTGCGCATACGTTTTTCTACCTTTATCCCTGTTCTTCAGAACGATAACGTTGGTTCTAGGTAAAGTTGTCATTAATGGTTGCTACTACAGATGTTCTAATGATCTGTTATGGTTTCGACCACACAATATCATTTGTCCCTATTTAAGTTCTAACTATAAGTAAGGTAAACCGTACCCTTCGAGCGGCGACTGTCTTGACTACAGATTGCTAAATTATTTTTTCAGCTCGATATTTCTCTCCAGTAATTAATAATAATAAAAAAAACATCAGCGCTAAATACGCACGGTTACGTTAGCCGAGGTAATTTGGTTGCACAGGTTCACAGGATTGTCGCTGTTCGACGAAGCCACCGTCCGTCAAAAGTTTGCCCAGCGCGTGCAAGCACAAGCGGAAGAATCTATAATTTTCGTTGCTGCCAGCTGAAGTAATTCGTATTGTACATTTCCTGGCAGCTAAATGTGTACGCTCAGCGTGAGAAGAAATGAAGCGTACAGAATGCAGATACACTATCTGTATAACCTATAACGAATATCTACGAAACGTTTACTTCGTACTGCTGCATGCTCTCTTATATATGGCCATATGTATTACGTGACATCGCTATTCTGACAAAATAGCAAATACATAACAATGTATGTGTAAGTGATACCTCTAAGTTATGACTTAAATCACTCGTAAATAACGTGAAATGCGTTTTACAAATTGGTAACTGTGATAATAGTGTAAGTTTTTCTACAGACAAAAACGTCACTAACTAGTGACGCAGATTTAAAGCAATTGTGAACTTAATTATTTGCAGTCCCGTCGTGCAGGGCAAGCTAAGGGGCATCGCACCTTTATGTAGCACAGGTGTGGCTGTTAAGTACGAGATTTTTTTCCACATGAACAGCGAGATACATAAATAATCATTTGTTGATTATTCTGAAACGGACAAGCGTTGAATATCTGCGGATTTGGATATCAGTCGGTAACTTTTTAGATAATTAGTTTCGCCAGATGTTCAACACGACATCCCCTATAAGTTGTATTTTATTTAATGATTTTTCATTAACTGTTGTTAAATGTGAGCTCTATCATATCAGTTAAACAAAAATGCTGCAGTAACAGAATTAGTATGGCTGGGACTAGTTCTATGGATACTAGTTTTCAAAATTAGTGAGAGTGCTTGTTTTTTTTTTGTTTCGAAGACGAAGCAACATAAAAATCTATCTAAAAATGAACTTAATAGGTTTTATAACAAAAATTCACAATGTAATAGCTCAAACATCTGGATCTATATAAATATTTTGTAAACATTTGCATCGTTAAGCTTTCCCTATCGGTATTATAAGAAATCTTGATTATCCATGAAAGAATATTTAAAATTAGTATGTTCGAGTTGGCTATCTCCCCTTGTCAGTTTTATTCGGCACCATCATACTGTCAATGTGCTGTGATCAGCTAATTAGAACGAAAAATACAAATATAAAATTCTACTTGTATTGTGAATTATTTTCTTGGATACTGAAATCCGTCTGATAAATTTTTAAATTACAAATATCCACGGTTACGAATCCCGAGAAGCCTCTCACATTTTATATATATTTGGCGAACGCCATACGCTATTGTCTGCCAGTTCTCTTACGAATTAAATTTCGGAACCACAGTAACCACATAGCAAATTTTCGTTACTCTAAAGCCCCTTGATCTAGATAGCCCGAACAAGAAAGGTAGCACAGAAAATTCCCGAGTACATAGTGTCACAACAGTTGAAAGCGAGCAATTACGATGCAGGACAACTAAATAGATAGAAATGCCACGTACAAATTGTTTATCGTGTTTTTCTCGTACCGATTTTTCAAGGAGTGATTAGCTCCTTCAGTTTGAGTCGAGTCAGCCACGCGGATCTTTCGCAGTAGTAGTTAGAAATCACAATAGGTAAGCCAATCGAGTAAGCTCGATTGGCACCGCAATCACGGTGCACACTAGTGAGAATACTTAAGGTACTTGTAGACAGACAGGTAGCCCAATGTGACGTATTACTGCTGACCCTTTCATCAAAAAAACCCGTAACGTTTTTCCTGGAACTTTACACAGCTGAGGCAGTGGGAGATGGACAAGAGGATCATTGTTAACAATCAGAATAAGCCGAAGGGCATTTTTGCGTGCCTATCCATAGATGAACTAATTGAACGACTAATCAAGTAAAGAAAGTAAGAACAGTTAGTGTGGATCAGTGAAGACAGTGGGTGAAAGGGCTAAGCAAGTTTATTTACTATAGAACTGAAATAGACTTGTTGATAATCAGTACATGAGCGAGAGACTTAGCTTTCAGGAGAACGAAAAAGGAACTATGCGTATTAATTGTGCGCCTTATCTCTATTCCAGGTGAAAATCGCCAAAGTGTATTGACACATAGTATTACGGAAAGTCTCGTTGCACCAAATTGCATCTCTTTGCACCGGACTCTTTTTCCCCATCTGTCCTAAGTGCGCGCACTTATTACATTGAGCCCTTTCGAGAAAAATAAAAAAAAAAAAACAGATTTGTTTAACTATTAGAAAATATTAACCTGTCGTTTGTCGCTGCTTTCAGCTGGTTCATGAAAAGTACATCCACGCTTATAAAAAAGCACTGGAGGGAAAAGAGCATAAGCGTTATGAACGGGCCTTCGTTAAAATTGCATTATCCTGTTTCCAGACTTTAGGCAAAGAAATATAATAAAAAAAACAACGCAGCTCTGGTCTACAGCCTAATGCTGGCGGTCCACCACCCACACCGGTTTCAAACTCTGTCGAATTCAGAGCAAAATTAAAATTCAAGCTCCTAAATGCCCCTGTCTAACATGACACTGTCGAAGACGGGCGTGCGTGCATATGAGAAATCCGTTGCTGCTGCAGCGTGGCAGCCTTAAGACAGCGAAAATAACAATAATGACAAAGAAAAGAGAAGAAACAACAAATGCAACGATGCCACTGAGGCCAATGTGCAAGTTCATGTGTGCAGGAAAGTTGCACGCAGATATATGATTTTAGCAACGAGAAAGATAGAGCTACGCACGTGCCAGCAAGACAAAGAATATAGAATAGGGCAAGCAAGCTAGCGGGAGAAAAAACAATGCTCGTTGTAAGTCCATATAAAAAGTCCGACACGTAAACTGAAAACGAAACAACCAGGCCAGTCCTGCGTTTAGCAGAAGGAAACCCATGCTATAGGGTCCTAGTTTCTGACAAGGGTTTACATAGAGGTGTCTTTGGCGATCTATATTAAAGTTCGAAAAATATACCTCTGATATAGAAGTAGATAAACTATTAAAAATATTACACAATTGTGATACTTAATGCAGCGCTATAGCTTAAGGTCTTTCATGCACAAATTGCACCGACTGTGCTCCTAATGGGTAAAATATGATAATCGCCGAGATCGGAGAAACGTTCTACCGATGCCCCATTTACTGCGACTAACAGTAAATAGAGGGATCGAGGTCCAGGTAATCCTCCGATAGAAACCACATAAGTAATATTCCTACGTAGAAAAGGATAATACTCCAGAAGAAAAAAGAAGAGGAAAAGAACCCGCATGTTCAATGGTTCCCGTATGACATCATCCCCGCAAGCAGGTCGATTAAACCAATAACGTTTATCTTACGACAAAACTTTCGCGGTGCGTATCGGGTAGGTGTACAGCAATTCCATTCACTGCATAATTGGTCTCCATTTATAAGATTCAGCTAAACGGCCTATCGGCAGGTCGTTACCGTATGTGACTCACAGAGGGCTCTGGATTGGTCCATTTGGTCAATTGACCCTGGCAGTTGACCACGTATAAACATGACACCAGCAAGCATACTTTGCCTACATCTGAATGGTCAGCCGGTGCTGCTGTTGCAGCGTATTTTAGCGCACTTGAAGATTTTGAAGAGTGAACAAGTTGACAAGCTTCCAGGTTGTGGTATTTAAAGTGCGACACGCGTGACTCATTGCCGGACATTATAGTATCAGCGAGCGTAAAAAATGATAGTAGCAACGAGCGAATAAGATAGATATAATACTTGGATAGTGCAGGCGAAACTGGCCCCAAATTTGAAAATTATAAAAAAATAACACTTGAATTTGAAGCAGGCATAATTGAAAATAGAAACAATATACCTGAGTGACGCTCTAATCAAATCACGTGGAGTTTTTCCTCAAGCTCGGTAAGCAATACGACCTGGATTGCCTAAAGCAATCCTTGTTTCTAACTATTAACATTTAAAAAACAAGCAAACGACAAGAACATGCTTATACATTTGCAGTTGTGGATTAAGTTGCCGAACAATCATAATAGTTCATCTGGAACTGATATATGATTTGTAACAGCAAAAAATGAGCTGATTTAATGTAAAGTTATCCGATTTTTCTTCAAAGAGTCATACGAGGGCTAAGGCAATTCTTGTTTCTGACTAGTTCACTTTAGCTGCCCAGCTGGCTGTCGCTTGCTACAACGATAATAGAATGCATGGGCCGATCTACTTAGGAATTCGTTTGCTCAAATCGGAAATAGACCTATGTTAAAAGAAACCGTTTTTCCTTTCGTACGTTGCCGCTTATGGTTTTGACGGGTTCGGTAGCAAAAGTTAACCTGCAGTAGCATATGTACCAGCCGCGCTGGAGAAGAGGCCCGAACCGTGCTATCTCTCAAAGCCGCTATGAATGCTGCAGTACAATCGGTCCATGGCGATCCGACATCACCGTTTATCACTTAAACTGATGCAACAGTGAGTTAAGTTTACAGGGACGCAGCTGAAACTGCTACGAGTACTCAGTCTTCGCACGCAGAAACGAGAAGGAAATCAGGCGAGGGTATTCCTATACGGAGATTCGGCGAAATCACTTAACTGTGCGTATGTCTTATTCGATAGTTGAAGATGCTTTTACGAAGTTTACGCAAGTTATTTGGCCTTTCTTGAAATTCGTAAAGAATAAATGACGGACCTGATTAAACAACATTGCGTTGTGTTAAATAAGTGCATTTCAAATGCTGATGTATTGACAATGAAGACGAATAGGTGCGAAGAGCTATTTTCAGATATTCTACTTTGAAGGCTAAACTTACGGAATGATCCAGTACGCCCCAAATGAGTACGTCTTTTTCTTTACGTGTTTGTTCTATACAGGTTGTTCTACTTAAAAAAATATTACCTATTAATTAAGCGATATTTTATATCGTTGAACAAAAAACATACAACAAATATCACACGTTTGGTTTACTAGATTTGAAACTAAGGAACATTTAGTCAAGAGCTTAAGAAATAAATTTGAAATGAAAGCCTGGTGCAAAGACAACCCGTAGCGGTGAATCTGCCGCCTGCGACACGCCCACGACGCTAAGCGGTGCTTCATCATGGGAGATGTCCACCGGCATCAACTGGCAGGTACAGTTGAAATCTTTTATCACATGAGGCCTGGATATCTTCTGGCAGCAAAGAACATTCAATAGCCATATGAGGGCTCGACCACTGCTGGGGATAAACATGCGCTGGCGCCAAATCGTCAAGTAGTTCTCAGTCACTCGAGTCGATTTTGTATTTTCCACATTCGGAACGAGAGTGATGAAGAAAAATAAAAGAAACACGCTTCAATCAAAAAGCAACATAAAAGTCACATCTTTTTAGGCACCGAGCTGGTTTGACTGTGACTATTTGCTTCCCTGTTTGGAATCTTGGAAGCCGATCGAATCCAACCGTGTTCATGCGTCGTATTCTCGATAAATGCGTTAAAATGTGAGTATTTTGAAGATTAGAGGTGATTGTTTCTTCAATTGCACTCTACAACGAAATCTCAGACCTAAGCTAACTCCTGCTCTAAATTGACCGGTATGGCAATCCTAGATAGCTTGCTTGGTGCGGCAGAAGCTCATCTGGACTAAAAATTACTCCCAGTCTGGATCACTGTTCATCGACAACGGACAGCGACATCTGATGCCGGTTGATCGCTCGTGTAGTTCTTATGTGGAAATATCGTGGACTTGAGTGCTGTCAGTGAATGCCAGTAGGAATAACGGTAACTCCTTACGATGGATTTTTAGCTGTTGTATTCTATCCATCGTTCTATAGCAGAATAAAATGATTAAACATCATCCCAGTAAATTGCCAGTGCCAATGTCGAAGTGTCTTTACACCGGCAACACATTTATCGTTCATTTCGAATATATATGACATCAGGGCGCTGTGATGCGGTCAATTGCGGTACTGGTAGCTGTTGGTGTTGCGGGCGTGCAAATAGCGCCGATGAGGACCGAAGACGTACTGTCCATGGTAAAGCGCACTGAGCTAATGCTCGTTCGAAGAAAGTAACGGATAACCAATCGTAGCTTAAGATGTTAGCAACATCACCAGCAACAGTGGTAGATTTCCCGCATTATGTCATCTGCTGGCAGCTCTAATATCGCCGAAGAGGCCTTGCTTCTTCATGTAAGCCTTTTTATATTATGCATTGCCTATAAGTATATACAAATGTATCTATACACATAAGTTTTCATAGTTGTCTCGATGTTTTTTCATTGATTCAGACAAACCGACCGACATACAACCATGTATATAAAAACATATTTATGCATGGTTGTTCACTATATTTCAGTTGGTATTACCGATATTCGCTACTCATTTTTGATCGGGTTGTCACATAACAAATGTTTATCTCTAATGCTAGCCAACAAATAGAATTATCGAGTTCTCGAACGTTAAAGCCATTCTCTGGCATGCTTAGCGGTTGTGTACTTGTCACTTGCATTCCCTTTCCTAATGTCGTTGATGGCTTTTTTGAGAAATTTCAACAGTAGAATAAGTGATGCCAGCTATTAACCTCGATGCCATTTAAACAATCGGAACTAGACGAACTTAAATTTGCAGAGTATAGAGGCAAAAGCCATCGCTCGGATCTGTTTTCTTCGTGTCAGGTTATTATAGTTGGAGTGTAGCGATGAGATCGTGCCTCGGCATTAAGTAAGCTTTCGGTGTGCTGTCTGTCGCCGTGTCACATGAAGTTCTTCAGTCATTCAACATGCCTACCTGCATGATTCGTACAGTATCTTGTAACAGCCAATTATTCTAATATCCGTTGCAAGTATGAGCATCAGCTTACGCCCGAATCTAATTGGCACCGCCACCAAAATCACCTTCTTGTCTGTTTGACACCATCATCTCACCTGATCCTTTAGCAATGAGCGAGGCAGGCTAACCGATCTCTCATCTGTGATGCAACGCTTACTTGCTTTTTTTTCATCTTCAGTATGTTCCTTACGACTGCATGACACATCTTACGAGAACCTCATATTGAATCTACACGAAGCCCGTTGCCCATTCTCTGTTTTGCTTAAAATCTTCGATAACTACTGCAGGTCAGTTTTCCGCCTGAGGTGCTGAGATGTAATCTGGTCTTTCATAATCTTTTACCCTCCAGCTTTCATTTGTAAAAAGACTGGACCAGTAATCAACAACTGTGTTTTTGCTAAAGGCCTGGAAACGGACATAAGGCGTCTCCGATAGATTCCATTAACGCTTTCAATTTCGAGAAACAAACATAGACTGTCTTGAACGTTGATTTTGAGTACTGAACGTTATCGTTATCTTTAAAGTAATAATTTTCTAATAATACTCAATCGGCTTATAGTCATAGATAGCAGAAACATTGGTCAAACCTCTTGTACTAATGGGTCATAGTTTAAAAGCCATTTAAAACAGTTAACCCGCTAAATTGCTTCGGAAACGCAAGTATATGCAATTATTGGTAATTCTCCTTATTTCGTATGCATCTATATATAGACAGTAAAAAAAGCAAGAAGTAAGGAAAAATAGTTTTATAAATTTAAATAGAAAAGTCGTTGACAAGACAAGCGGGCGTCGATATACGTCAATGCTGGATTGTTCGAGCGATTTTTTTATTCTTCGGTTTCAAGTAGAGAGTTGCTGTTCTTTTACATGTTTTGGAGATTGATATACTCCTGAAGTTGAAGATGGCACGGCATGTCCAATTGCAAAAAGATATCGAAAAAGTCCTGCCTTCCGGCAGAAAATTTAAGCCGCGATCGCAGTTGCGAATGGGCGAAATTATGAATCAGAAAGCTTGCTGTTGTAAGATGAAGAATGCATAAATAGTTTTTGGCTTTTTCTCCTGATTTGACAAGGCTTCTTTAGTGACTTTTACGTACACATTAATCCAAATTCAGCGTACTCTAAAATAGATTTTAGTATTTATGATTGAATCCTTTCGATGAAAGAATACCCTTAGAAAAATCGATGCTCATTATATTAAATACAGCTAAATCTCAGAATAAATATCTTTAATGCTGTTAAAGGAACGCAACGCACATAATTTTTTCTTTTATTTTTATCAAATTTTTTTTCTCAAATGGTTTTCTTTTTTTTTTTACGTTACCCGTTGCACAGATCTTCTGTACGAGCCACACATGTTTCATGAATATGGCGATTTGTCGCCTTTCGACCCAGTCAGAAGAGACGAAATGACCCACTCCCTTTTTGCGACTGCCAGATGAAAGACAGCCAACAGGATCAGCACCTGGGTTGATGCCAGATAAAGACTGATTCTTTCAGGTGGTCACAGAACCACCAAGGGAAAACTTTTCAGATGACTATTACCTGGCAAAGTTAAAGGGTAGATAATTCTTATACTTCTCGTATTTTTCGTACCGTTGAATCTTATAGCTAATATACACTTGTTCTATTGACGGACATCGATTGTATATGTATAGTGTGCTTGATGTTGCCGAACAGATGATGATGAGTACTACAGATTAGTGGCTTGACAACAGATTGTCTCTATTTTGACTGAGGCGTAAACCTAAATTTCATGCACTGTTGTACTTGGCTTCTATTTTCTTGTTTGAAACTATTACACCAGCTAACCAAAGACGTTTCTGGAAAGCAGGGCACGAATATATTTTAAAGTGTTACGTATACCCTAGCTAAATAGTAACATTGGCATTTTGCCTTGCAAGGTAAATATTCAGCGACAAGATGTGCAACAGGACTCTCGTAACAACATGCGATGCAAAGTTTGTCATCCAGTTGACTAACTGACACCCATTTTATAGTACTAGTACTAAGCTACGGTGTTCAATGGTGGACGAATTGGTTGGAGAGGTTTCCAAGTTCTTACTAAATTATTGTATTTATTGACGTCCGTTCTGCTTGATTTGCATGTGGCGCGCCTGTGAAACATTTGAAAATATAGTACGCCTAGGATTTTGTTGCTCTTGTTGACGCCTTGCAAGCCGCATGCCATAGAAACTCCACAAGGTATGCGTGAATGGAAAAAACGCCGTTTATCAGTCACAGATTATGTACATCAATAAAGCGTACCTGGCTGTCGTTGGCTCATATAGGCATGGAGCACACATGCGCGACATGCAACGTGTTATATCAAACTTTTCTCCATCTTTGTCTGTTGAACCGAAGGCTTCATCTGTCTGTTAGGATTACGTCTGTGAATCGTTTGATCCCACCCAATTCTGTCTCCCCTGCGTTTTGTACATTTGCATACTCTAATTCTAGCTGTAGCCGAGCAGAGTTGGATTGTATATAAGCCTCAATGAGTTCCATGTGCCTCCGTCGGACGCATCATTCAGAGCAGCAGTGACATGTACTTGACTATAGGTCACACACATACATATTAGTGTGCAAAATAGTTCCGAACAATACTGGCTATATTGCCGAAAACAACTAGTAACTGATAAAATCAGGTGCAAAGAACCAAGGACAGACGAGAGTACGTGAGCACGTCAGCAAGCCTTCTGACGGGTGCCGCCGAACGTAGGAAACAACCCCACTTCTCGCAAGGCGCCAGCCCAACGGCTGTAACATGATACTGCCAGCTTCACGCTATAATTATATCCATAGCCAAAAAATAGGCCGTGTGAGCTTGGAAGGATGTCTCACCTCAAAAGATCATCATGCTACTTATGCTATTAATGCAGTTTAGAAAAAAAATGCACTCAAGTATGCAACTGTTAATGAATTTGTTAGTACACACTAAGATGGGGATCATCACGGTAGCACATCGAACATGCTTCATAGAACGCGCAAACGGCTTGCTATTGTTTCGCGCTCTAAAGACTCAATTTGATTTAATGCGAATCGCCATGATAGAAAATCGCGTTATGATCTATCAACTTCGATTGCTATTGTAGCGTAGATTTTTTCTAGTAAACAATAACGCCAGCTAGGCGCTGATTCCAGCGTGACCTATAGTCAATACATGGACCGAGAAGAAAGTGACTCCGCTGATCCCCCGCGCGTAAATGTGTAGGATGCTCCCCCATATGATCTGCTCCGACGGCAGTCTTACCTCTACTACATGCATGCGACTTGTTTCGCAGTGTTGGAATGATCATCTACCAATTCGATGTATCCACTGCAAAATTGTGCCAACTCTTACAGTGTTGGGCAAAATAGCATATATAAATTAATAGAATTTCAAGAGATTAGCGATTACATATTGATAAGAAATCTAACATGTTACCCCTTACATCACCGGTCCATGGATTCGTCTCAAAGTACTTGTTCTGCATAGTTAAGTAATTATTATACTCAGTTATAGTTATTTGATTAGCTCTCTACAAAACGACTCTTGTTTTGATAGGATTTGTTGACCAACAGTTAACTGGACAGCCTCACTGTTATGCATGTCACTAATCAGTAAGGCGATCGATTAAGAAGATTATTTATTTAAGGGATTACGTAGTGGGTTAAAGCTCGAGCCAGCGATCTCAGCCGCTCAACCGAATACTCTCGCAAGCTATTTATGAACTATGAGCCGACTTCGTGCACGCACAACATGCCTGATATGTGCGCACAGCGTGTAAACGCAGATGTCACCAAAATGCAAAGTATGGGCAAAATACGGCCCAGAAGCGTCTTTGCAATCGAATTGTGGCGAAAGAAGTACCCCACGCACCACAGTCGCACTTTTGCTGCTGCTGACTCTGCAGTTCTACTATCATTGGAAAACAACGATTTTTTTGCGCTTATTTATTCATTCATTAATTTAAATAATCTTTCCGCATTTATATTACGCATCAACAACCGTTTCGTATCATTGCAAACTGCTTGCACTCAATGGGGCACTTCCAGTGAACGGAAGTCGGTGTGTAGAGCCAGCAGCTGGGTCGGCCCAGACCTCTGCAACAACTACATGTGCATTAATCTATTGACTGTAGTGGAACAGTAAGAGCTGCTGTAGTCATTTACAGCGGCAGCAGCATCAACGGCGCCAACGGTAGCAACAATAAGAACAGCAGCTATGGTAACGGTGATAGCAGTACTATTACTAGCCTAGTTTAGTTGGCTGGTGCTACTATCCCTCTACCGCTATTTCGTCCCTAAGTTGCGCAGTGTAGGGGGTAGTAGTAGTCGTAGTGCGGTAATGGTAGCAGAAGTGGCACTCGTCGTCGTTCTTGTAGGGCCAGAAACGGCAGCAATAGGTTGTTTAACGGCGGGCGATGAAAACAGCCAGTCTATGAGATCAGTGTAGTAATACTCGTCTGAGTAAGTGAGTAACCGACCGAGCCCTAAATGCCCGGCACAGAACGCACTAGGTGTGCTAGCGGCTACCCAAGTCAAAAATCCAGCAAGCGGACCCCACCGGCATAAACCCAACGTTGCTTGGTGTCGCCGCCGTCGTCACCACCGCCACCAGGATCCCACCGTACGAGTGGGAAAGAGAAGAGAGCGACCTTAGCCTCACGCTGCCTTCATCGTTGCCGCCGCCGTCGCCGCCGCCGCCGCGACAGCGGAGAGAGGCAGGCAGGCAGGCAGGCAGGCAGGCAGGCGGGCGGGCGGGCAGGCAACCGAAGTGAGCGAGCGGGCCACGCTTTGGTGGAGGCTCCTCTTCGACAGCGTAACTATACTAAGCTACGCTCGTAATGTTCCCGCTGGCACTGTTGTCGTAGTGGCTGATTCGGAACCAACGACCTAGCGAATGACTCTCCACAATGACGTGGAGGGTGCTAGAGACTATGCAACTAGAGACTAGGGTGAGAGTTTAGAGGCAGTACCCGAGGCTATGCTCGTTGAGGGTGCGCGGATCAAATAACACACTACTAGTCAGAGGCCGAGAGCAACAGCAAAAGCAGACGTCAAGAAGGCGGATAGCCTTCACTGCATACCACAGCGCGCGAAAGGCATTTCTCTAACCCATTACAAGTCTCTAATTTTTATATAGGTTATAAGCAGCGGTGTGTATGATATTTACAAAAAAAAAAAAGAAATTCTGACATAAAAGTCAATGTTTTTGGCTTAGGGACTTCTATTGAACTTTTCTGCGTGATGTTTTTGATAACCTAACATCTGATCTTTTGTCATATGTACAACGGATCTTTTTCGAAATGATTTATATTATGCATCGGCTGTGTGTGAACCAGTTGAAATTGTGCAGTGACTGAGTAATTATGTTGATGCAGGAAATGTGCGGCTAAGTTGGGAAGTGCGTACAATGCTTTCCTCAAAAAAAAAGAAGGTCGTCAGGGGAATAGCTGGCTTCAGAGCAGCCGGTACTCCCGGTCGCACGGAAACATTATGTTCGTATAGAGGTGACAAAGGAAATTAGCTTTGATGAATACTCGAGAGTGTGATAAGATCGTACTTGTCCGCCCAAGCCACTGAACTTGTCTAGTATTTCAAGCATCGATTAAGCCTCATTGACGCCATTTCATCTTGCAGCGTGAAACTCGAGTGCTGCATTGAAAGACAAGTGTCCCATCATTACTGACCGGTCATCGTTCAAGTGTTTTGAAGTTACCTAGGCCTAATAGATGTATACACTCTTCATAAAGTGACAGCGTACTTTCTCGATAAAGTTCTTTACCACTTAAGGAAAAGCGCCCTTATTCAACATTCATGTCTCGAGTACCTACAGTACAGCTTTTTCTATTTCTGATCTATCCTCGATTGCGGATACATGTATCAAGGACAGGATCATCGCAAGAAAATGCAGGTTTGTACTGTTTCTGTCAGGAAATCTCTAACGAAAGACGGACAGTTACTCTTCCCACCAGCATCGCACTCTTCATGTATGATGCAAAACTGAGTAGAACAAGATAGTTAGTTACATATATATGTATATACCACAACATGTACATATCCTTTTTTTGTACATATGTGGTACGCCGTTTCCTCTGTCGCTGATTATAAGTATCATGAATTCTAGCTGCTTTGGCGCTGTCACCGATCAGATTGCTAATAGGAGCGGAGGAGGGAGTTCCGGGAAAGCGCCAAAGTCCTTGACGTTTGCGTTCGGGGGAGCTAACTTCGAATTGTACCCTTTGGATCCACTGTACACATAGTGCTAGCATCGTAGTATACACGCGATTACTACTATAGTTTGCGACCGTCGCTTATACAGTTCATTCATCCGCCAAATCGAAGTAAACGTTTCTCTGAAAACTAACGAAATTTTGTTATAACGCGCAACAGAGGTTAGCCTTCCACAGACAAGTAGATAATGAGTATTGGTTATCAATTGGTGGTACGCCAAAAGAATTCATATTTGAGCCAATGTGAAGAAACTTTACACTGGCGTTTGTATGTGGCTTTCCATATATTTAGGTATGAAACATTCTTCATTGTGATAAGTATTTATATTATGAGGAGTACGCAGGTATTCGTTTTAGCGAACATAGAAACCTACAGGGAAAACTGAATAGGACCTGTGATATTTTTTCACTTTTTATTTTTATTTCTTTTTATTTTCACAAATTTACACTATTTGTTGTCATGTTTAGGAGGGTTTTTTTTTTTGGGAAAGGTATTTGCATATATTAACAATTTATTGTATTAAATTCTTTCAGTTTTCGAAACGTTTCAGCATTAGCTGGCTAGTACAGTCGACTGACTTATCGTTGTCAGCGTGACTGACTCCCTGAGAATGTTGTATCTTGCATTAGGTCTGCGTGCAGCTTTCCGTTGTTCTCTGTTAAGTGCGTTGAAGTATCTTCAATTGTAAATGAACTTTGAAAAATTTTTTTCTTGTTATTATACTACTGTGAGACCGCGTTAGCTGTAGATTGCAGTAATCTCTTCCCATCACAACTATCTCAAAGACGACATAATGTTTGGCCAGCATAAAATATATGAACTACTTCTTTAAAAACCAATGTAGTATCACGGACAAACGACTAGCATGAGGGTATGCTTAAGCTCATTGGATCATTCCCGATGCCTATTTCCTCGGCCAACTAAATTTTCCATTTGCTATTTCGAAATGTCTTTTTCTGAGGTAATCTAGACCACAGCATAATCTTAGCCGGAGCTAGGCTAAGAGTTTGTGGTACTGGCTTTTAGGTTACGGATCTGTTATCATCGAGATTCTATTTGAAGCCATCCGTATGTGCTGTCTAATGTGAGGTCTAGCAAACGACGGAAACAATAACAGCATAGTATAAATCAAAGAGAGTCGGTCAGAGCTATCCTCAGCTGTACGTAGCTAATCGAGCGAAGATCATTAGGAATATGGCTCCATCTTAAATAGAGAATCCTTCTTTTCAATATTTAATTCCTAATTCAGAATATATAACCATTTTAGTATCCTCAAAATCATTAATTTCGTTTTGATTCAACAGAGGTAAAAAAAAATTCCTAAAAAATGTTTGCTTTTTCAGAATCATCTGTTCGTGTGGCTTAATTCGATCGACTCTTTAATTCCACGCATTCATATATTTATGTATATTTTTTGTTGTGAAGCAGAGGCTTCGGTTTCGAAAATAGAATTTTCGGTCTATAATAGTTAATTGTTTGCTCAGTTGTAGCTGAACGGTACGGTATATCATCTCAATGCACTTATCAACGTGCTCTTACGATTGCGTATAAACATTGGGAGTAGGTGTTATACTTACTACAGTTTTCGATCGCATTCAATAGCGTGAGTAGCACAACAAGACTGCTGTATTATGCTCAACATAACACTATGCTTGTATTCTACATTATGTCAAAAAAAGCAGTGAATCCAGAATTCGTTTGTTGCCATTAGTGAATTACCAGTGAAGGGTCAAGATATGCCAGATCCAGAAAAAAGATACGGGACGATTCGTCGGGTCTACGCTTTCATCACATATGGTGCGGACATTTAGGTATGAAGTGGAATACTGCCTTCGAGGTTGTTGTAGGCGCTGCTGCGCCAGCCGGTACTATACAGATAATCACAGCTACGTAATGACTGGTTGAGACAATTGTGAGGCTGGTATCATAGGGCAGCTTTCCATGGGCTATGCTTTCGAACCCAGGGTCTTCGTAACTGGACAATTCGTGTCCAGGTTACATTTGTAGTGACGCATAGTCCACCTGAAGTGAGCAAGCCCGTTGAGACGCGAACACGCGAAGGATACAAAGAAACGATATGAACTCGCATAAAAGAAAGGGTGTTTTCGCAAAAATCTGATGTCGTATAGCTTTCTCAAACTGGGCAGAGTTGAAAAACGTGAGAAGTGAGAGACTAACTTCTGAACCCACTAATAGTATATAAAGGGAAGAGAGTATGTACTCGTACGTGAAGATGGCAAAAGGATGCTCCCAATACGTTAGCGATGCCGAGCGGTTAATTGTATGTTACGTTTGCACATCACTAGCAGACGGAGTATCTGATGCCCGCTATGGTTGGGGTATGGTATTCTCTCACTAGACCTAAGGAATAGACACATTTATTATGATGATAAAATACTACTGGACATAAAATTTAAGAAGTTTACTTATCTAGGTTATCCGGCTCACAACCGCCGTTGCATTATATCGATTGTTGCCGTTGTTGCCGAATAAAGTACAAGCTGTTTATCTACACGCATGAGTGTACGAAGGCGCGATAGTAAAGGCTTACCAGGTAAGCTATTTTCAATGTATAATAGCTGCTCTTTCGTGCTATTCCTGTACTGCTATGCACTGTAAAATCTCCGTTGATATAAGTAGTTCTACCTTACAACTCGATAGATTTATACATAGTGATAGCATAAACGAGCGTAAATGTGCACTCGTCATTACAAATTACTTGCTTTTTGCTTACTAAAAAATCTCCGACCATCTCCTTGAAAGCAAATACAAAAAGAACAACAATATTTTCGCTCTCTCTAAATTCGTCCATTAAACTCAAGGTAACAAAAAATAATGCATATAATTTCGAAACGTATTTTACTCTGCATTTAGCGAAGCTGACATGCATCCGACAAAACCTAGCTGACTACGAGCGTGGACGTAAAACTAGAGACTAGGCAACCCCGGTGCCTCCGAGAGAGTGAATAATAAACATTATTCAAATACAAACAAAAAAACGTTATGAAAAAAAAAAAGCTGAAAGCTGAAGAATTTTTGTGACGGAAAATAGCAGTTTATGCTGCACGTCAGCTACTTTCTAACTTACAATATTTCGTTTGAATATATTAAGCACGTTTAAATGAACGAACCGTAAAACACTGAATATTTTAGTAAGCACAAATGGAAAACTACTTCAAATTAATAAGCTATCTTTGTTTGATTAATACAACCAGTAAACTGCGCCATAAAGAAGAAATACTGTATCTTCATTTGCAGTGTAGAATGAAACTTCTTCTTGCTACCAACCATAGGTAAGACCAACGATAAAATAATGAGATGCGATTAAAATATTGAGAAGTTAGTCTAAACATTGCTTTTTATAGTTACCATCCGTATACGTAGCCTTTGCCCCATCTTCTTTATAATAGGTCTTTATCATACGTAGTCATCAGCACAGGCCAAATGTTTAAGGCCCACAAGAGTCTGGCACCGGTTTACAAGAACAAGTTGCGAGAACTTGACGCAGTGATGTTCTAGATGTTCGAGATGGAAAGCGATATCGTGGTGGCTTTATTTGACAGAAGTAGTGTGATCTGCTGTATGCCTGGTGCTAAAACTAGTAGCAGCAATTTCCCATGCGGAACTGAAGGCGCAGAGAGTAACGCAGAACTTCGCTACCATTATAATCATCACGGACCTCGTAATCGCGACTGTCAGCCTCATCCAAGTCCTCACCGTGTGCTTTCTGGCATCGACCATGAATGTGCGGTCTAGTTATGGATAACAAAAACCTTTTTTAGTGAAAAACAAGGGCGGGGAGAGAAACATGTCCGTGAAAAAGAGCTGCCGGCAGGCTGCCGTTCTAACGCTTAAACCGTAAGGAATTACAATACGGTCACAATGAGCGGGCTAAACCCCACTACGCCTATTGTAGTCAGCCATATAGCGAGCGCATTGCGTTCGCTACGACTCATGAGCACAGCAAGCGGCCAGGTGTTATGTTTTGGTTGACTGCCGTGATGGCTGAACCAAGCGTACTTTTGGATTTGGCGCCACGTTACTAGTCTATGCACTGTATTTGTGCGCGCGGGAACGTCCGCTACAAAGGTTAGCGGGACTAACATTCGACGTCGAAATAACCACTACGAAAGATGTACCCATAGAAATATGACCCTTCTCGTACCTATTTTAGAGACTACAATTCTATCACCATACGTCCTTGTTGCCTGTGAATCTGTTGATTACAGACGTCGAGTCTGTGTGATTATATAAGTCGTTGCCCGAGAAGGTACAACAATTTACTGACAACACTAGCTTTGAAACTGGCGAGATTTGCAGGAAAGTCATAGTGACTCAGGGCTTACATATAAGTTTAATCACTACGTTTGACCTTAAGCGCCTACCCATTAAACGTAAAGAACCTTCCCCAGGTTCTATCCAGGATGCGGTCGACTTGCCCTGTATAAAAGCCTTGCGTGCGCTAATGTTGAGCCTTTCTTCATGATAATGACCCGAGCACAAGAGGATGATGCCATTTCTAACATTCTTTAGATCATATTTATGACTGGCCACAAAAAAGGCACTACGTTCTCAACCATTTATAGCTTGCCTAGTTAAAAAACGAGCTATGCTTGACTGTTCACCTACTCAACATTATTTTAGGTCATTTATACAGATCAACATAGGTTCAAGAAACGC